TGTTCCCTAAGAGAACTCCCAACCTGGAACAAGGATGAGAGCAATGAACTCCGCTTCAAGATTTCAGGGTTCTGGTTTTGACTCTGTGTGGAGTCTCACTTTTCTTGCTCATACAATGAGAGTATTTGTTACCACTTGCTTTCTACAACCCCTCCCAATTCCCAGGATTCTGTGGTGGCAAACCGCAGGTTTTTGTGACTCTATGAACAATACTTAACACATATGGGGATCAAAAGAAAGAACTGGTTTCCTGTTCTCTAACACTGATTCCCCTTACTCTTGTTAAGTTGGTCTTCATCAAATTGAAAAGTTTTAATGTTTTCATTTTAGGAATTGGCTGGGAGGTTGTTTCTAAGTATATGAAATGTAACTTCTGGTTCCTGAACACCAGCTTCTGCCCATCACTGTGAAGTGAGGTACCAGAACAGGCACTGAATTCCCATTCTAAAAATGACAGTCTGGTTCCACCTCCATTTAATTAGCTTTGACCTTGGGGCACCTGGGTGGCTCAGTCAGTTAGGCGTCTGCCTTTAACTCAAGTCATGATCCCAGAGTCCTGGGATCGAGCCCCACGTCAGGCTCCCTGCTCAGCAGGGAGTCTGCTTCTCCCTCAGACCCTCCTCCCTCTCATGCTCTCTCTCTCTCTCTCTCTCACTCCCTATCTCTCAAATAAATAAATAAAAGCTTTAAATAATAATAATAATTAGCTTTGACCAGAAACAATTCACCTGTAAAATTAGAAGTCAAATTAAAAAAATGTTGAACTCTCAGAGTTCCAAACCTGTGTGCTGTTTTTTTTCCCTTGCCTTGCCATATTCACCCTGTCCCCAAACATAAACCTTAGTTACAGGTAAATGTGCTTTAGGTTTGTTCAATAACTCTGGAATGGGATGCTAGTAATCTTGCTTTTATAGTGTGTGTTCACTCACACAGTCCCTCCCTTGATCCTGAGGTAGAAGAGGCAAGCACTGCTATTGCAGAATCACCTAAAGGAATCATGTGTACAGGGTACTTCTAGATTCTTCCATCCCCAAATAAATGAATTATTTTAACCGCAAGAACTGTGAAACTTAAGGACAAGGAAATCAAATAAACTTTCCTTTGGACTGTGTAATTTCTTAAAATACATTTTCTCTCCTCTTAAGACAAGGTTAGATACCTTACTTCTGAGCTCCCATACTATCCCATCCACGGTCTCATCTTGACGCTCACAGTTATATTGGCACTTTGTGAGTTTCTCACACTCCCCATGCATCTGTCCATCCCCCCAGAAAAAAAAAATGCATATTGAAGAATATGTGCTATGTGCCCAATACTGTTCTAAGCATTAGGGAAGCAACAGTGAACAAACAGACAAAGATTTTGCTCTTCTGGAGCTTCTATTCTACTAGGTGAAGAAAAGCAGGGTTACTAGTAAATAGTCTGATGTCTCTGCAAGTTAGAAAAAGGCACAGGGCCAGGGGAGTAAGCAACAACTTTGTGTGAATTAGGGGGGGAAAAAAAAAAAAGCCTCTTCCTCCAGCCAGACTCAGGCCCCTGCTAAGGGGAACAGAGGGTGGGCTGGATTTTAGGACTCCCTCCCTCCCTCAGCTGGGTGAACCATCTTCCATGGAAGCAACAAATTATCTGGAGAAAAAGCCAGATAAAGGATCTAGAAAGTGATGTGGACATCACTTATCTAGTGTAGTTAAGGAGGGCCTCTCTAACAAGGTGGCACTGAGCAGAGGAAATGAGGGAGCAAATATACAAACATCAAATTAAAGAACATTCTAACATAACAGCAAGTACAAAAGCCCTGAGATGGGAGCAAGTTCAGTGGGTTCAAGGAAGAACAAAAGGGCAATTAAGAATGAGACAGAAGAATGGGTCAGCAAAGGAGCAAAGCACACAGGGCGCTCTAGGCCATCCATTCATCTAAATATCCACCCACCCACCCATGAGTACTGAACACCTACTAGGTGGCAGGCCCTATCTGATCAGCTGTGAACTCCTTGTGGGCGAGAGCTGTTATGATTCACCATCAAGCCTTTAGCATTCAACACAGTATCTGGCTTATTATCAATGTCCAATAACACTTAAGAAACTTGGAATCATCTTCAGGAACTCTCCAGTAGCAGAGATTCTGGCCCCTTAGTATGTGTATCAGTTTCCTATTGCTGCTGTAACAAATGACCACAAACTTCATGGCTTAAAACAACACAAGTTTATTATGTCCTAGGTCTGGAGGTCAGAAGTCTGCAGTGGCTGTCCCTGGGCTAGAGACAAGGTGTGGGCAAGGCCGATTCTTTCTAGAGGCCCTTGGGGAGAATTTTGTTCTCTTGCCTTTTCCAGCTTCGAGACCACCTGCGTTCCTTGCTTTGTGGCCTCATTTTCCATCTTTGGATCCAGCAGTGCAGCATCTTTAAATCTTTGACTCTTGACTCCTGCTTTAACAGATAAATACACTGTTAACACTGCCTCTCAGTGTATTTAACCTGACTTAATCTGCTTAGGTTTTAAAAACATCCAGAAGTGACATAGGGAACCCTTACTACCTATCCTTCTCCTGTTCAAAAGCTTACATTATTTGGCAGTGTCTTGCTCCTTTCTCTCCCCTACACATCTCCCATTTGTAATCCGGTACATCCAGTCACAGTACTTGAATATATACTGTTTCTTCCCATTTGGGGGCTTGGTTTATAATGAACGTGTGGGAGTGTCTTCCCTTGCACTCACCTTTCTCTTGGGGACTTACTCTTCCGAGGAGCCTTTCCATCTGCTGGAACCCCCAACGATTGCTCTCTCAACCCATGGGCTCCAATGGCCTCCTTAACACAGCCATCATAGTTGAGCTCTTGTCCTTCGATTTTTCCACAAATATGCAACTCTCATGCTTGAGTTCCTGGCCCTGAGCGGAGCAGAAATTGCTACTCAGTGCCTTGGTCTGTTGCTTTGCCCAGCCCCCTCTTTGCCTTCAGTCGGCCTTTTAACTTTGCTCACGAAGCAGCACCCCCGTCTTTGCTGGAGAGTGTTTCTGCTGCTGTCAGCACCCCGCATTCCAGTTATGCCACGTTGCACAAGGTTGTGCTTTGACACGTTCTGGGAGCATTTCCCCCACACAGCATGTCATGTGTTTATCTGAAGATGGGTGGGTTTAATTATTAAAGGCTTTGCAGTCTGTCTTCAAGTTTATGTAAGGGAAACAAATTGAGGAGTCTTATTCAACCAATGTGAAGAAAAAGGCCATTCTTTCTCACACAATATGATGACGCAGGCACTATTCTACTCTTTTTTTTCTCTGCATTCTTGTAGCACATGATGGACGTTATTGCGAAAATGGGCAGTTTGAAAATTATTCAAGTAGTCTTCACCATGTGTACATAGAGACGTTTATACAAAGGACAGTCATCCCATCATTTTTAGGGCTGTAAAAGACCGGAAGCATCAATAAGGAACTAAAAATACAGCACAACTGTACTACGAAATACCATGCAACAGTTAAAAAGAATTAGATGTGTGTGCCAACAGAGAACAATCTCTCCAAGATATTTTAAGTATTTTTTTTTTTTTACGTAAGCTCTCCCCCCAACATGGGACTTGAACTCACCACCCCAAGAGTCGCATGCTCTACCAACTGAGCCAGCCAGGTACCCCTTAAGTATCTTTAAAAGTATGATCCAGAAGAGTGTATAAAGTACGCTTCTATATTTAAAGGGGAAAGCTAAATACATGCCTACAGGTACATAGGCATAGAATGTCTCAGGTCATCCAAGAAACTGAATAGCTGTTGCCTCTGGAGAGATAAACTAAGGACTGGGAGGAGAGAGATTTATTTTCAGTTTATTTCAGTTGATACCTAGTCATCAAGTCTTGGGAGTTTCTTCTCATACCCCAGCTTCAGCCTGAAGCATTTCTTTCCACCCAAGACTGGTTTGGATGTAGCTCGGTTAAATGCCCGTTTGAGTGTGGTGTTTCTCCAAGAAATCATCTTCTGAGTTGAACGGTTGGCCTCTGTTGAAGTAAGTTCTCCTCACAGGGTGCATGCACTTGATAACTTAAAATAGTTAATAACTTCATATGCCATTTGCATTCTTTTCATTGATTTATCTTTTGTTTTCGGGGTGAGGGGGCATTAAAGATCCAATTAAGCATGCACGGTGTGTAGTGATGAGCTGAAGCCGACATGGGAGAACCGTGTTATGAGTGAAGGGAGATGGCCCATTGTATTATGATGAAGAATATTAGCTACTTAAATAATTGCACCCATTTCACTGTCGTTTGGGTTTTTTTTAAGATTTATTTATTCATTTTTAGAGGCGGGGAGGGACAGAGGGGAAAAAACTCTCAAGCAGACTCCCCGCTGAGCAAGGAGCCTGATGCAGGGCTCCATTCCACAACCCATGAGATCATGACCTGAGCCAAAACCAAGAGTCGGACGCGCAACTGACTGAGCCACCCAGGCGCCCCGTCGTTTGGTGTTTTAATTATGATTCAACCTGTGAGAATTCACCCTAAAGAGTTTTTTAGGAATGAATTATTCTTGTAATGTGATGGTTGATAGAAGGTATTTGACTTTTTTTTTTAGCATGTGCATGTATTACCTTTTCAAAAAAGGAAAGAAGAGAAAAAACTATCTAATGGAAGCTTTCAAATGGTTACAAAGACTACAGACAACCAAGGGGCAGTTTTGAATTGAAGAGCCAGGGTACAGCTGCCCACTAGGGGCTGATGCTTGGGGCTGAGGTGCTAATCAGCTGACCTTAAATAAGGGTTCTCCTAGGTTATCTGGGTGGGCGCCATGTAATCACAGGGGTCATCTAAAGTGGAAGGGGGAGTCAAAGTCTGAGATTAAAGATGCTACGAGATGGCAAGGAGGTGACAGAGAGTGAGAGACTGTGGACCACTGCCTGCCACTGCGTGTGACTTGGGCGAAAAACACCATCACACCCCGGCGCTATTGACTTGCTCTTGGGAAGCCACACACATATGCTTATGAATGCACCAAGAATCAACAACAGAGATGCAAAATGAAACAAAAGTTTATTTTCTGCAATACCTTCCGTAAATTACAAAGGCAAAAATGCTAAACTACAGCATATAACTTTTCAATATTTAACCAGAGTACTTAAAATAAATAGGCATCCTGAAACAAGATAAAAGGCTACACTTTGTCAGGCGTCCTACAAAATGTCTCAAGTTTTATACTCTGCAGCATTTCTGTGCGGGGGCAGGAGGAGGGGTTTGCTTGTATTAAGGGCTGTGACAAAAAGTCCTTTCACATTTCTTTGGAGCATTTTCGGAACTGCTGAACTATACACAACTTAAGGAAAGTAACGCCAAGCTTGAAAGCCATTTTTGCTTTGCTGTCCTTGGTCCTCATCCAATAGAGATGAACACATCCTCCGAAACAGCCTAGCACCCTGTGTGCCCAGGCGGCCCAAAGGCACGTGGGCCCTGTCAGGGCAGGCCTCGGCCCTTTCCGTTATACACCTCGGAGAGGTCCATGCTCAGCTGACATTCCTCCTTAAGAACAATGCCATAAGGAAGCTGCGATCAAGTTCAAAAACACTTTTAACCTGAAAGTAAAGTGAACAGAAATACTTTCCCCCGTGACCTTTGCCATGCACCATCAGGTGTACCATATCGGGATTTTTAGTTCCAACATTGGAAAAGTGATCGGTACTAACAGTCCTTCCAGACATCATTTTTACAGGCGCTGGTAGCGCTGGGGCATTCAAAAATACTCAGTGGGTAACAGGAGGATTTACCGTATTCAGAAATGTGCTACAGTTCTAAGGACACGATGGCAGAACGTCTAGGGATACCGGTGGGAGCTCATGTTGAGTTTGGAAAAGGAATAAATACATAACTACCCTTGGCTATAGTGGAAAACTCTGAAGAAAAAGTTAGGCTTTAAAAAAAAGTCGCAAGCACGGTTACCTAAAAATACTTTGTTAATAGAGTCTAATGTAGATTTCACTTATTTAGGGGTTTAGCTACGAAAACATCTTTAAGAGCCAATAAAAATATCGTAGAGGAAAAAAAAACACTTTTAAAAAAACTGAGGTTAAGAACCATGAGGCATTTCTTTTGGCTGTAAACACGCAGTTTACTGTCCCTCGTTGAACACAAAAGTCTGGATTCCTGAGCTTCACGGATAACAGCAGGAGGCCAGTTTGCATAGAAAATCTGCACTATGTCAACAGTTTGCTTTAAAAAGAACTTCTAAGGACAATTTGCTTTTGTTTCTCAACTTCAGATTTTAGTGAATAGTCTCATCACACCACGGGACCAAGGAGCGAGCAGCGTGATGAGCTATATAAGGCAGATGGGGGGAAATGATGGAATGAGAGTTTTTAAAATCCACAGGATATCACAATAAAGGCTCTTCAGCGTGCACCACATAACTAGTGCCAGACTAATTTGGCCAAAAGTTGAATCGTGTTTTAGGATTGGAAACCAAAGGCAAAAAGAGCCCTCCGGTGCTGAACGGCACGGCCTGAGTGTGGGAACGAAAGCCACGGGGAGCGCAGGTCTCAGCACATCCGTCTGGGACCACGAAGCCCCTCGGCCGGTCAGCCACGGAGGAGGGTGCCCACTGCCAGCACCAGGACCACACCCCCGGCTGTGGCTGACCCCAGCTCCGGAGTCTGAAGGGGTAACACGGTGCGTCACCTCGGCTGCTGAGGTCTCTAAGCGGTTCTGAGGACAGTCTCCCCCAGGGCCCGGGCCTCAGAAAGCTGCCTTTGGAAAGGGAAAAAGCTCTGCGAGGCCACGGCGCAGACGACGAGTGAGCACAATGGCAGTCAGTGGCTGCCAGCAACTCCAGATCTAATGCAAAGATGGACAACAAGGGGGCAGTGTCCTGCCAAGGGATCCATTTTACTTCTTCTGGGACTGGTTTTTACACATGGTAAGGATCTGCTTCAGTACTTTCTGGACATCTTCGTCCATCTGGCCCTAGGAAATTCAAACAAAGACCATCATTAGAACCCAAGTTGAGTCCCGGCGGTCTGACCCCTAGGGAATGTGATGGCTGGCTGAGATGAAGCCCTTGGCTTTGCCCCCAGATCTTCCAAAGGAATGTTAGCCCTATCGATCCCCACATTTCTATGAGGGACTGAGAGAGAGGGCCCTGCTCTTTTCCCTCTGGAGGATGATGAGGCTGGGTCCACCAGAGCCGTCGGGCAAAGGGTTTCTGGGTCTCAGTTGCAAATGTGAGCCCGGCTAGCCAAGCCACCAAGAGTCATGCGGTGAGACCGTGCTGACTGCTCTAAGAATATGGGCACGCCTGAAAATAAAGCCTAGGCTCCTCCTCCTGGTGGGGGTGGAAGCCACATCCTCCTTCGTTTCTCAACAAATGATGAGGCGGCTCTCCGTCAATGGTGTAGGGCTCCTGACAAAATCCAGAGCAAAGCAATAAGCATTTTAAAGCTTCTCAATGTAAAAGATTCTCCTTGAATTTTCATTTGTTCTACTAGTTCAACGATGGGAGTTTGGGTGACATCTGCTGTGGTATTTCTTCAGGATGCCCAGACCCTTGACAGGCTGTTAGCATACCTGCACGGCGTACAGAAGATGCATTCTGTAAACAGATATGACCTCCTGGTGTTGTTTCTTGCATTCCTGGAAAGAGATGATTTGACATTGTTAAGAGCTTAGGAGACCTTTAAAGAACAAAACCAAAAAACTGTAAGAAAGCTGTGGCCAAATGCTACCCAAGTGATTTCCTCCAGCAAATGCTAGCATATGAGGCTTTTTTTTTTTTTTAAAGATTTTATTTATTCATTTATTTGAGAGAG